TCCCCTCACCTTTTGTGGGGAATGTTTATGATGGCCATGTGGGACGGTTCACTTTAATGCCTAACAGAAGATAGCCATGGGAATGTATGTTTATTCGGCTCTCAGGGCAGTTGATATAGGAAACATCTGTGTATTGGCTAAACTCTGCATTCTAACTAATGGGAGGGGTCTCTACTGCTTTAATTCTACTTGCATTGCTTAAGGGGATTCAACATTCAAGAGGCAGCTACTTTTGTCTGTTAATCAGCAATACTGAACACTCCTATCCTTACTTTCTGCCAAAGAACAACTAAGTTATCTGCTGTTCTGGAGTTTCTTTGTTTACTACTTTAATAACCAGATGTGTTTACTGACACTGCCCACCATAATATAGTGCCAGATAACTCACCGACTGCAGGGTGCCACCACGTTTCTTGGAGAGCTGTGGTGAGTTGCCATATTCTCGACACACGTGTTTCCTCACTTCAGCTGCCACAGTCCTGTGAGATAAGAAGATAGTAGTGAAGCATCCACTTTTCTCTTCGTTTCTGTACTATCCCTATTCTCAACCTTTCCTCACTCCACCGGAAATATTATGAAGAGTGCAACCTCTTCATTGGCAAAGAATATATTTATTCTGAATCAGCACAATCTCAATTAATACTAAACCCCAAACTATAATTCTGAACTTTAAATTATCTACGGGCATTATCTCCATTTATTCTAGGCTCAGTTCCACAGAGTCCAAATCTTCCCAGATCTCATTCAATGGCGATAACATAGAAGAGATAAACATCATTTAGAAATTGATCCTTACTCTGTTTTTTTCTTCAAACAAAACCAATCCCAACATCACCCCCCTACAAGAAAATAGCATATTCACAGTAAGACATAACCATTTAGGGGTTAATAATTCAAAGTAATTTTCCATTCACTATGACAGACATTCCTCTGTAGTAAGCAGAAAATGTATGAGTGAAAATTAGATGTTCCTGAATCAGACAGAGTAACAAAATAATTCTGCTTCCTTTATATAATCATTACTTCGTGAAGAAGAATAATAATAGTATACCAAGTCAAAAGTCACACTTTACCAAATGTACTGCGTACAGTGTAGGATGATAATCCCAGGGAGCAACAAAATATATCTATTACCAGAGGAATGTTTAAGTGTTGTAGTGTTGTGATGATGCTCCTCTCCACCAAAATACATTTGGATGATGCCCATGAACCAAGATTAACAAAACCATCAATCGCAGAAGGAGGAGGAGGAGGAGGAGGAGGAGGAGGAAAAGAGGGGGAGGAGGAGAAGAAGAAGAAGAAGAAGAAGAAGAAGAAGAAGAAGAAGAAGAAGAAGAAGAATGTTCTCCAATTGTGAGAGACTTTTTTCACCACATTCTAGAAGCTCAAGCTTCCAAGTCAGGTAGCTGAGATGTAAGATGAGCAGAAGACTCAAGTTCTTCTTAAGATAGGAAAAGGACATGATGCCAAAGTTACCAGTCTGGGTAACTGCTGGGGAATCTGAACCGCTCCTCATCCAGAAATACCCCAACAACTGCCTTTTCCTCCTGCCAAGACCAAATGGCCTCTAGTGGCATAGAAGTTGGCAAAGTCACCTCCCAAGAAGTGGCTGACCTTGTCTGCCCACGTTGAGTACAAACAGGCTACCAGGTTTTCCCTCTTCTTTGAAAACTCCAGGACTTGCCCGTTCCATGTTGTGTTGTAGCCTCTGCCTGGTCACTGCAGCAGAAGCAGCGGAGTGCCATTTTTACCAGCAGTTGCCCAAACTGGTAAGCTTGCCATCGTGTCCTTTTCCTCTCTTAG